TTGGGAGCAAATATCGCTTAAATGAGCATTGCATACAATAATAATTTATAACAGTTCTTAACAGTTTAAATCAAAATGTATAAAATTGTAACTCAAAAATGCGTATGATATAATAGATTAATACTTTATAAATCCAAAGTGTGTATGAGGAAGTAGATAAATACTTTGTAACCCAAAAGTGCGTATGATATAATAGATTAATACGTTGTTACTCCAAAGTGTGTATGAGGTAAAAGATAAATACTTTGTAACTTCAAAGTATGTAAGAGGTAGTAAATAAATACTTTGTAACTCCAAAATGTGTATGAGGTAATAGATAAATATTTTGTAACTCCAAAGTGTCTATAAAGTAATAGATAAATACTTTGTAACTCTAAAATGTGTATGAGGTAGTAGATAAATACTTTGTAACTCCAAAGCGGAAGACACATGAAGTACACAAGTTAATGGTTGAAATTGGTTCTGATGAAAATTCTGTCACTGAAAAGCGCAAAGCATGTCTAAGAATCGAGACACGTGTTCATCCTAAACATTTTGAAATACAGTATAGTTGTTTTATAGCTTATGAATATAAAATAAAGCACTTACATCGACCTTTATGATTACAATGTTGTCATAAATATCAGTGGAAGTATTCTTCCCCTGAAGTGTTGTTCATTGATTGACTGAATTTGAAATGTGGCAATAACGATCTTCATTTAAAATGCATCCTCGTCTTCTTTCCTGTATTGTTACAACGTCGTACATACAATGTAATTACCTAGTTAATTATACAGGTGTATAAGACAGTCAAGACGCCGGTTGAGTTAAATAGCTTTAAACTGCACTCGTGGCTAATTCTCTCTACAAGAAAAAGGTATCAATATTTCTCTTTAAATGACACATGACTGCTTAAAGATTCAACATATTTGAATTCGAAAGAAAATTACGCAATGGCATATTAGGTGAAAGACCTTTACTCATAACAGAGTTCTGAATATATATGGATTGGTAACTATTACAGAGGTAATCCTGTCTTGGCGCTAAACGTTTTTAAAACATTACTATATTTATAGTAACATTGTATTGTATTTCTTGACATATATCATTGTTTCCTTACATGTATAGACTTAAGCTGTTTGAAAAAAAACCATTCAAAGATTGCGAAATCAAAACGTCTGTAATATTTGATTGCTCATATGTTTTTAGATCTTTTAAAATTAATGTAATGTTTGTACAACTTAGTACTTAATGTTTTTACAACTTAATGTTTGCACAACTTAGTAAGTAATGTTTGTACAACTTTGTACTTAATGTTTGTACAACTTAGTAATTAATGTTTGTACAACTTAGTAGGTAATGTTTGTACAACTTAGTAATTAATGTTTGTACAACTTAGTAGGTAATGTTTGTACAACTTAGTAGGTAATGTTTGTACAACTTAGTACTTAATTTTTGTACAATTTAGTAAGTAATGTTTGTACAACTTAGTATATAATGCTTGTACAACTTAGTAAGTAAAGTATGAAAAGGTATTAACAACATGAATCATAGCATATGTGGTATATGCATGTCTGATATCTATATAATGAATTGCTGTTTTTCAGAATACTACCTAATTATTATCATTATTTTTTTTTTATATAATAATAATTCTTTCACATACAATATCATTTGGTCGTTCTCGTTCCAACCATCGTAATAACAAAATACGGATGCACGAAAATAGAACAACAAAAAACCGAAGAAATAGACATATTTCAAACATGTTCCGGGCTATTCTAGATGAAAATGATGTTTTCGATTAAGAAAGAGATATTAATCAATTGAATTTTACAGTTATTCAATCTACTACAAATATATACACCAAACAAACTCGTCCCTAAGAATTTATATGTCTATACTATGTTATCAATGAGTCTAATTTTATCATATTTGTTTTGTGGATTTTTTGGTTGCCATTAATATAATACACAATGCAAATCACTTTTGGCATAACTCATTCATTGTTGACCTTTGTATCCCAAATGTAATTATTCAATTTATCGAGTAGTAGTGATTGTAGTACTGTCAAATCATATATTTTTCTTTGGGTCACTTTTCCTGCTTTTTTCAAAAGAAAAAAAAAACACTATTTGGTTGACATTAGATTTCATGGATAATTACTGCTCTATATAGCTACACCTTCACTTATCATGGAAGTTAGTGGACATACTAATTCGCCGATTTGGGATATCAACGAAATCAACGAAAATAAATTCCCGAAGAAAATTGATGATTTTGCAGTATGTTTGTTTTCCCAAGAGAAGGTACTGTTTATGGTAATGAACCATTTTTAAGATCTTACATAATTTTCATTTCATTTTTCATTTTCATGTGCGATTGATGAAATTTTAGACGAGGTGAAACGAGAAAAGGAGACATAACTCACAATCCCGTATGGAATGTACCAGGAAACCATATACTTTAGATAGGTTTACAAACATTATTGAAGGCAACAATTTTATTTGACTACTGCAACACTGACGGTGTCCTTTTTCTATTTGTCTGACTTTGGTGACATCACCATGCAAATGATGCCTTGGACTTATGACGTCACAATGAAACCAGTGTGAACTGTTAACCAATCACAGCTCTGCAATATCTAGTAACACACGTATAATAACAAAATAAATGTAAATGTGAAATGTGTGTGATTACACTGATAATATGGTAGGTACCTGGTACATGTAAGAAACCGCCTAGAATTTTCTAAAAAGGCGATGAACTTGTATTCTTCATGTCTTCATAAAAATTATGTAAATGATAATGAAAATTTCTCCCCAAAATATTCCGGCGAAAGCAACACATTAATTATGTATATCATGATCTTATCTTCGGTCAATTTGATGTTCTCTTTGTACGTCCATTCCAACTTAATTTTGCGGAATTTTTATCTTGTAAGTGCTATTTAATGTTAGTTAAGATAAATTTAGTACTGGATTGGGTAGCGCCCAAATAATCTTAAATTATTTTCATTCATTTTGGGACATTCGTTATAATAAGAATAATCGTTGATGTCTGCACATTTGTGGGCTGTATGAATTATCATTACACCACCTGTAATATGAACTATGACGTCAACAAACAACATGCTCCAACGTATAATCAAACTCCCATTTACAATGTCACTCTGTTTTATTTATTTAATTATTCTAATAGTCGTACGTTTTTTTAAACATATGAAATTTTCCCTTGTTATACATAAAGCCTTCCGTGATAAAGAGTTTCAGTTTGCCCCCAGGTACATTTTTTGTTTATTTTTTAAATTTTCTGTTTTAACTAATTATGCAGAAATGAAGTTAATCACAAACCTTAGAATAATTGTTAAATGCACGTATTGTTTTGTATCGAATAACACCTTTTTGTGCTCTGATTGATGCAACAACAAGTGCATTTAAATGAAATCGTCAGGTGTTTTGATAAATATCTACCTTATTTGCTTCAATGCGCCAGTAAAACAATTTCTGTCGTGTCTTTTGAACATTGACATCGCATAGGTTATCTGATAAATCCGTGTTATTTCTAGGTGACATATCGTGTTCTGGTATACCGTACACACACTAATATAGTCCGACTCTCGTTATGGGAGAGTTAACAATCTCGCCGTTCCGCTCCACAGAACAATAAAGCTTGCTCATTCGTATGGGTTGGCTTTTTGTGTAAAATGCATTTGTTATGCTTGACCGATTTTTATCAAGTCAGGACAGATTGTCGTTGAGTTTGATTTTAGGTCACGTACAACACATATTGTATAAGCCTCGTATTCAGTATTTTCGTGTAAATCGATATTGGAGTGTTTAATTACGTAATTCAAGCATTTTGAGAAGTACACACTAACACTTACCAATATAACAAGCTTGAAACCTTAGTGTTTATCAGATATTGTGACTATTGTGTGCCGATTTATCAATTAATTTCCTTAATAATCGAACAGATGGTATATTTTTTTTCAAACTAAATGTACTTTCATTATAGCTAAGGATGTTTACTCGCTAAACCGAAAACAATTTCCCTTAATTTTGACTTAGCTACTGTCATCTTAATAAACGTATCAGTTTGGTTTGATAAAACAGAAGGTTATTTGTGAGGTTCTTCGTCTTTAAGTATTTATATATATGATATATATAAAAGAAATTTTATCGGGTATAGTTCTATACAAAGATCAATATAACTGAAGCAAACAATCAGTAAATATTTCAAATCTCATTGAAATTATTGAAGGCAACAGATGAAGTAATAATTTTGTAGTAGACTGCGGTTGAATATAACATTGACAGTTCACATTTTTTTTCATCGGTCTGAAAAAACAAAAAGTTCCAAGAACACGAGACCAAATAACATACATGCGTAAACAGAACCAAAAATGAAGGTTAAGTTAGTATGGTTGATGTCACTTACATATAGGAGATCACATAAAGTAATATTTGTATCAGTATCAGGGATATCTCATTCTTTATTAAAGAAAGCTATTAATCACTTTTGTGATCTAAACACTAAATCCTCAGCACTAGGTACATCAACAGAATATGTCATTCCATCACCAGCATGTAATATTATGCCGCTTCCACAAGTATTTGGAAACAGATGACTTCCAACATCACTTGATCAAGTGTTGAATGTTGCATTTGGTAACCAAGTACTTAATGCAATTCAATGTGTATGGTTCAAAATTGATGGTCACTCTTTTTACTGCGTCAAATAAAGAATACCATGTAATATGTATTAATTGGAGCATTATCTCATGTACGTTGAATTTTACAGGAAAAACAACAAGTCCTCGACGCTTGCCACAGCCCGATTGTCATATTTTGTTTCATTCGAGTAGTGGAACGGTTCAAAATATATATGTGCTTGTTGTTCTACTGAAAATATCAGATATATCAAAGCAATGAAAGTTCTTGAATCACTGGGCTGATTCTTCTCTCCATCTGGATTTTTTTAACGTTTCTTTTCATCACCTTGGATTTTTCTCAATCACTGACGAGTCCAAGAAGAATTAATAGGTAAACATTACAGTTTAATTCATAATTTGCCTCATCAGTGTCTTACTCTAAATTGAAAGGGGCTATTCACGTTAGCGTCGTTTTTAGAATCATGTACATATCCCATTCCATTCTGGCACAAAGTATGCGCTGAATAATATCAAATATAAATATTTGGAGGTTATTATTATAGGAATCATTTAAACAAATAGAAATTGCTGTGTTACATGTTTTTTAAGTTACTTTAATTCGAGAGATATTTGCTCACAATCATTTTTTTCGAAATGTTCTCAAAACAAGGAAGCTATTTTAAAACTTTTTTTGTGACCTGGAATAGCTGCAAACTATTGTAAATGGATATTAACAAGATGCTAACTTATATACTTACATAATAGAAAAGTGGCGAAAACGTGCTCATTAAATTAACATTACATATACAAAACGATGCATAATGGAACAAATTCAGTATGAGTGGTAATATTACATTGGACTGTTGTTTTGAATTAATCTAAAGTTAAAACCTGATATGATTACAGAAATTAAGTATTTTCAGACTATCATCCAATGAAAGACAACAAGAAAATACCCAAATGTCAATTCAAACTCAGATTTGAAATATTAACAAAAGAAAGGTTTACACTGAGACTCCTGAACATTTGCAAGGAGAGAATGACCAGGTGTTCTGGGAGAGTAAGGGTCTTCTGCCTCATCGACGGCATCCGCCATGTAAACCCTGGTAAATGAAAAAAAAAAAAAACCAAATACATCAATATTTACCTTTATGTTGGTATTTATTTGGGACTTTAAATTGTGCCATTGTTAGTTAATCTTGATATACCTAATACCTATTCACTCTATCGAAAAGTATAAAAAAAAAATCGGTTAGAATTTGAAAGTTTTACAATTACTCCTGATATTTCATATGATACAAAATGTGTATCGTTTTGTCCATGTCGATGGAAATAAAGTTGATATGTCTGTCAAAATTTTAAAAATAACAACAAAATACCTAAATGTTAACAAAATATTTAATAAGATTCAAAATCGTTGGACCAAGAATAAAGTACGAACTGAGGAATGAATGACAATGTACTAGGATGATAAGACCTGTTCTTTATTATTTCCCAGGTATATGCTGTACGGGAAATATCCTTAAACCGCAGAAAGAGATATACATTCCAGTCATGATTCTGCTACATTAAGCTATCTTAACATGCACTTGATTGGGGGAGATATGTATTTAAATTTGTTCTGCCTGTCTTTATAACCTCGTTGATGGGTCTTAGAAAAACGATTCAACAGTATGATTCAGTGTAATTCATTACTTGGCACTACTGTATCTAATTCTAAATTTGTATTAAAGGTTCTGTTCATTTGTTACGGCAGCACAAGTTAAGACAGTTTCTCATATAAGATACTAGTAACGCTACCTTCAATATGAGAAAAAAATCTTTTTTTTTAAATGTTATCACTGGTTAGAGATAGTTGGTAAAAAGCAGTGGTCATTGTTTTACATATGAACTGAAATTTGTGGTATATGATCTTGGGACTATGGATGCCAATCATTAACAAACTAAGAAAGGATTAAAGAACAAGATATATCAAACATCATGTATCACAGGAACATAAAGCAGTTTGTGTGTTTTAATGTATCCGGCAACATTGTAATAATATGAAGCAAGAAATTCAAAAATATAATACGAAAAAAATTAGTTTTGTTAAGAAATATCCTTTAAAATTTCAGCGACATCATATAATTTATTACACGAATTAATTTGAAGTTACATTTATACGTTTGACTGACATTCATAATCAATTTGAACTCATAAATGCGATATTTGAAAAAAAGAGAGATCATTGACCATGTGTCGTGGTTCTATTATCATTGCTAATCTTTATTTTCTAGATATATTTACCGCCCCGAGGAACGTCAGGTGAATCCTTCAGTTATCCCATTAGGAAGGTGGGAGGAAGTATATGGTATAAAACACTGCGCATTGGCGTCCTTTGTCGTCAATACAAACCCGTTGTAAGCAATTTATCGTTTACCGCCCTTCACCTATTCTTATCTGGTTGACACGGATTTCCCATTTGCAAAGAGCGTCTATCTTTCACAAATCTTTACCTCAGTATGCATTTGCCTGCAGCTATCTGAAATGACGTCACGTATTTAAATTACTTAATTATGTCGGCAAAGCTATTACGACTGGCATTCTGAAATCAGACTGTAGCACGCTACAAGTGCTGCAAAAACTTCCCACATAAAAGCTAACTATACACTCTACGTTTCTGTTTACGATGTATAAGTAATGTACATACTGAATGCATGCCTATATCATTTGCATTGTAACGCATGGCCTTTATCACATCTTCAACAAAATCCTCTATCTCTCAGATTCCTTCAAATAAATCAGAAAACATACCCACTGGACAAAATGTACAAATATCGAAAAATTAACACTAAAAAAAACAATATCTTATATATGAAATCAACATACACTGATAACAATGATATGCATAAATATCTGCACGGGTTCTAGACTCTTTGGGGATTAACTAACTCTCTACGTTTTGTGCCTGTATTGACACTTTGGTTTTAAACACCTTTCCTGTCGTCAGAGAGTTCAAACTTTGTCCTGAATGATTGACAATAAGGTAGATATTTTCCTTTAGTATCCGTAAGCCATATAACAAAAGCAAATTGCATTTTATTGATTTACAACAGAAATAACCACCGTTCTGACTGACTGGCAGTAATACATGTCTTGCCTGGATCTTGATCAGAAGCCGATATGAAGGCCCTGGAGACTAAAGTTTTGATTAATTTTATGGTCGTAAAACTATCTTTCATAAGTGCGTTAAATGCCTTCTGTACTGGTTAACATTTTGCTATTTTGAGTAATTATCTTTCATTGCTTCATATATTATATTGATTAATACCATGTTAATAGCATTAAGATGAGCAAGGCATAAACAATTAATTAAATATAATATTTTGTTGTTAATACGTTTTATGATGTTTCATCAAGTAAACAAAATGTAAACATCCATAGTTATCATACAGCATACCCATGCCTTCATTAGAAATTATTAGTAGATTACTTTAAAGTCATAAAAAACAAGGGAATACACCTAAAACAACTGTCTGACATGTATTCAGAGTTACAAATTACACGCTAAAACGTTGTTCTTGTTTGTTAAATTCATTGTTTGTCATCACTTCTGTTGCAAATTAGAATACAATTTGGTTACATTAACCCAACAAATGCGAGCTCTTCTTGTCATGTGTACGAGTCATAAAATGTTATTAGTAAATGTGATCCTTTTGACCTCCATTTACTTTGATACTTAAACGTGGGTGCGATATTGACTTATTATATATATATACCTGATAAATGCGATCCTGTTCATGCTTTTCGATCAGTGTCAGTCAAATCCTTTACAAACATTTTGGCGTCGTTGACTCATGTTCCAGTTAAGACCCAAATGCTTGTTACGTGATGGTAATGCTACCTATACACACATAGAAAAAGAAAGAAAAAAGTGAATGCATGAAAATTGCAGAGACAATGTATATCATTTGATAACATTGGTAATCGGATGACATCCATTCCTGGGAATTAAATTTCGTTATAATCATGAAATCAAAGATACCGCAAAATAAAAAATAAAGCAACATTAAGCGACTTTAAAGTATATATTACGGTATATTTTTGTGTCTAATTAAATATGTTCCATGACTGGAAAGATTTACATCGTTTATTATATACTTTGATATATCTTACCTCATAAAAAGTAGTATTTTTTCACTGTAATCCGAATACGAAAGCCACTCTTTTTATTTATTGTTACTGTAGATAGCATTTCGTGTTTAAGCAATTTGCGACAATTTTACGCATGAATGAATTGCTTACCCAACCATGTGATGGTGGTTATAATTTTGTATAAAATATAGATTATAAACTTTGAGTCACAACATCTGTAGGCAAACTAGAAATAATTATTAAAAACTCAAAGATACTTAATGAGGTATCTTGCTTAAGGGTTGTTTGCAAATCATCACGTAATTAGACCACTTAAAACACACTGCAAAAGTATAATGAAAAGTGTACAATATTGGAGATGTTATTTTGTTCTACGAAATTTCATATAGAAAATTGTTTTCTTCAAAACGATGTGAATGATGTTTTGTGATAAATATAATATAAAAATGAATGGATGAAATATATTGGAAAGACTCAACAATGGATATCCAGAAAAAAAACGAGTTGTCATATTTGACAATTTTTTGCAGATTGTATGTGTAGAAAAAGCAGATAATTTCATAGAATCAGATATTTTAATTGTTGTTGAAGATAATTTAAGATTTTAACAAAAGTGTATATCTTAACACACATAAAACCTCACATGCGATTTAAACTTTTAATTCACTTAAGAAAGCGAAAAAAATCAATCATGCATGGCCTCTAATATTTGGTTTTAAAGGTCCTCAGTATGGGCCTTATGATATATTGTATATGTAATTACTCTTAAAGATTGCATACGAATATGTTATTGCATCACTTACAAGTATCGTGTACCATGTTACTATTAACGGTAGTGATATTTCAAAATCAGCTTGCCTAGGGGTTTTTTTCGTTGGTACTCCAAGTCCATGGAGACATATGTCCATGAAATCATAAACAGATAAAAATTGACATGGATTACGGTACTAGTGCATTTTGTAAGATATATCAACGAAATCAAAAGCCAGTTGAAATAACGCATATTTTGTAAACCACGAAATTAACGCCCTACGTAAATATATATTTTTTTCAGTAATTGAAATTAGAACATTTTCTAATTTGGATGTGAAAACTTTAGTACAATGCATATCCAGTAATGGAAAGCCTTGAACTACTTCTTATGTCTAGCCACGTGGCACACGCAATAATACAAAACTCACCTTACTAAAGTTAGTGTTTATTACTGCTTATGAATTATGCTGTCGCTTAAAAAATTCAAATTAAGTGGGACGGTATCAGGCATTGAGAAATACGTCTGCATCAAGTTTAAACTAGTTTTTTTTCATATCACATTGTCATTGCCGTTTATTTCTCAATATAAATGAAAGAAATCCAATTTATATCATTAAAATGTGCCATTTAAAGTTTTCATTAAATATTGATAATTTTATGGAACCGTCCGAAGTACGGTTGTATACCGTCTTATTGGTGCTGTGTAACAAAGATTGAAAATACTTGGAATCGGAGTTGAGAAAGGCGAATATTTTTCAAAACAATTAAAACGAAATAAAAAAAGTCTTTACGTTTTCATAGAAAAAATAACGCATAAACAATGTTTTGTCATATCTGTAAACAAGCTGCAATATGACCTAGTTACTTTTAAACTTTGCCTTCCAGCGTCGCGCCCCTGTTTGTTTGATATCAAACCAAAGGAATGTCGAGTACATCAGCTTATAATTTGCTAATCCTCTTTTTCTCAGTAAATACGTTTTTATACATTAAAAAAATACCACAAGGCGAGTGTCAACTCATCTGGTCACAATTAACCAACAACTTCAGGTCAGGAAAATATATCAGTTTCAATACCTCAGATAGCAATACATCAAAACTTCAATACGTCAGGTAAAATATATCATAGTTTCAGTGTTTTGTGTAAAATATATCACAACTTCAGTACATCAGGTATGGCATATCATACCTTTTATGTAAAAAGTTAATATACATCACAACTCTGATGCATCAAAGATATATAATAGATTCAGTGCTTCCAGTAAAATATGCATCAGCTTAAAAAGGGGGTAACAGCTTCAATGCATAAGGTAAAACATGCCAAAACCTCAGTGCAATACAATGAAACTTTACATCACACTGAAACAATACATGAAAACACATACACCAAAAATATATCACAAGTAAAAACAACACAACAGCTCCATACTAAACAATTAACCATTGACACAGAGGCCGCCGGATGGGACTTAAAATGGTGGCCCGTGTAAGAATGTCCAACTCTCACGAAGGTATTCGACAAAATAACGCCGGGCCATAGGTTAGGGATAGAGTTCGTCTTCAAAATTATATTTAACATAGGTCTGCTAGTATAGCACCCCTACCATATATATCTCTCATCGCTTCATACTGTTTCCTCTCTCACTTAACTTTCTATTTTACGTCCACCGGAAGACTAAAAGACACGTAATTATAGACATGAGCACTGTTAGATAAATAAAGTTAAAACCTCTAATACAACAGGTAAAATAGATCTTTGATATATCAGTTTAAAGATACCACAGTTTCAATACCTCAGGTAAAATATATCACAGTTTCAATACCTCTGGTAAGATTTACCACAGTTTTAATACCTCAGGTAAAATTTACCACAGTTTTAATACCTCAGGTATAGTAAAACAAAGATTCAATGTAGCTGGTAAAATATTGTATAATTTTATTGCAACATTTATAATACGTCACAGATTAGATATATTTCGTAAATTTCTCAAATCCTCAATACAACAGGTACGATGATCTATAGCTCAACATTACTAATGCTTAATGAACTGTACAAGGACTTGGGGCATTAATACAGTCTGTTGGAGTTAGAAATTCAAACTCAATTTCAATATTTCATAAATATTTACAGCTACGTCATTATCAATTTATTGTCTGTGACAAAAATCAATAGGTATTAGCATATCAAATGTTCCATGCAACCGTAACATTGTGTACTATGAAATGCTTTCGTTTATGAAGTAGTATTAATTCTCTCAACATCCATAAAGAGGGAGGGGGGAAACTAGGACAAAATATGAAAGATAACATATCGGGAAGTTCTGTCAATGAAAACGATGTCAAAAACAAAAGTGGCTTATCTTCTGTGATAGTGACACATCTTCTATATCTTTGAGATATAAAACATCTTTGTTTGTACCAACTACATTTAGAATAAAAGGCATGATACCACTATAGTTTGCGGTATATAGAATTTTCTTTCCTGCGCATTGAGTCAAGATAGCAGTCGGATATAGTCTACATTTTCCTGAACGGCCTAACATGGATGTAACTAAGGCTACCCAAAGTATGAGGTTATGCCTTTAGCCACAGTATTACAGATATTTTCAAAGCAATAGTATTAAAGATATGCTCCAACGAAGGTATTGGCTTTGCTCTCTAACTAAAACCATTCTTTACACTATCACTCAAAGCTCTGTGTGTTAAAGGGATCGTCGGCCCTATAATAAGGATTTTCCTTTAATATACTGGTTTTCGTCCACAGCAGGTCCCATAAAAGGCTTCCATCCGAGCCAACAAAAGGGACTGATATAAGCTTGTTCCGCAATTTGTGTAAAATAAATCAAGTTTATACCTTGAAAGATTTGATCGGGTGACTTTCAAACTAGTATTTTCAGGGTACAATATTTCAGTGTGATGACACTATGAAATGGCTTGTGAAAGACTCCACCATCCATGACCTTTGTGTTTATATAACCGTCTCCGTTGTGGAAAGAGGCTTACAACAACTTTACATGGATTCAAAATAAACAACGACCACGGAATTTAAGATGATAATGCAACATAGAATAACTATAATAGCGCAAAGCTTCCAAAGTTCTTATCTGAGTAAATATGTCATATGAACTCTAGTTTTGCCAACACTTTTTTTATTTAAATTATTCGATACTACATATCAATGAAATTTATTAAATAGTTACATTACCTCAATATTTATCGGCTAAGATTTTTTATTCCAATTACATTGAACTAGCGTAAACAACACGTCATAACTAGCCTTCATGAGGTCAATAGATCTGTAGCAAATAGGACATAGTATCCATACACTAGAAGACAAAATCAGGTGGCTTTAAATAGCATTGTATTTTAAGGGTAAAACTTGATAATTTATCTGTCTACCTATTGATTTTCACTTATTCATTTTGTTTTCGTGATTTATTTCTCATATCGATGCCATTTTTATCTCATGTAAATCAATATGGCAATGCAATTTGTTCGCTAATCAATCTGGGGGTGCAGATATGTCGCTATCCAGAATTGAAAAATTAACATTAGAGAAAGTCAACACGTTGACGGAAGGCTCTACATGTTAATTTCGAAGTTTGTTATAAAAAGTTCTGATTTTTATAGGTCATCTTACTAGTAAATATCTTAACATATATATAAAGCCAGGACATGGGGTATTCCTGCATGCTCTTGTTATGCAATGTGTCACGTGATTGATAAAAACCACATTTCCTGTCACATGACCTTTCTACAGCCTGTGTCATATGACTGATAAGCTGCCGAACCCACACATTGTTCTTTGAGTGTCACGTGATTGTTGAATATCTGTGCCATTTGACCTTGCATTTCGTTCATCCTACGATAACCTATTTGCTATGCATCCACCATAGCATGATAAATACATTGCCGGTTTTTAGGTTTATGTCAACATGATTTGTATGACCCGGGTCTGTGACTAACAACTAACAAATGTTGTTTGCTCAAATGCTAAAA